ACTTTGCCAACACACACCAAAAAAAAAAAAAGCAGAGAAAGATTGTTTCCCAGGGTTTTCTTTTAGCTCCCAGTGTACTAAGGGTATACCCATTAAAACCAGCATTAGATTACAGAGCAGGAGAAGGACTAGCAGGCAACCACTTTATTTAGCCTTGGGAGGACACAGTTCAATTCCCAGCTTGCTGCCTTTTGCAACTCACCATCTGTTATGAAATTGGCTATACTTTCTGTCTTTCACAAAATCAGACTCCTTAAACAAATAAATCAATCCACTAATGGCTGGACAAATGCTCAGATGCGATGAAATTTCCAACTCAGGGTTGTCCTACTATTTCCATAAAACAAAGCAGGAACCAAGCATTGGATAAGACATAAGTTAAAAAAAATAATTATTGCAACTCATCTGCTCGGTCAGTTTGCTCCCAACTAGGGTTTGCGAGTGATTTATTTTTCCATTAGGGATGGAAACCTTAGCAATACCAGGAATTATTCAGAATGAACCCAAATTTAATTTTGGGAATCCTGGGTCAATCAAAACATTTCTATGTGTTCTTTTAATGTCGGCAAGCACTGAATTCCTGACTGAAGGTTCTGTGTGAAAAGTTATTAAACAAACATTAGGCAAAGCAGAGCACAAGTACAAACGTGCATGTGTCACCAGCTCTGCCCCACGGTGAATCCAAGTGAACTTCATTTCTTTCATTGAGCACTCTGATTGCCTGAGGGCACAAGTGTGTACACACACCTAACTGTTAAAAAGATGACACACTGTAACGTTACACCCTCCATAGGCCCATGGCAACTCTTCTGTGCACTCATACGCCACATGCCTCTCAAAAATGACCATAGCTCTTTCATGAGTACCCCCCTCTATCAAGACAGACGGAAACCGATATATCTAGCCAAAAGCTTAGGAGGAAGGGGGCACTAACTGCAGGTTGCAGAAAGCAATCTAACTGTAATCTGATGTGCAGATTTCTGCTCTCAGTAGCATGTGTGTATGTCTGTCGGTACAGACATTCATGGGTTTTGCAGTATTCTGCAGAAACATCCAGACATCTAGAAAAGCAGCAGTGCTGTATCTGCTCTTCCGTCACTAGACCCTGCAGAAGATTCTGTGATCAGAGAGTAACAGCCAAGTTGGCTCGTGATGCCAAGGAACCATCTATCTTCTCATGTTGTGGTCAAGTGGTATTCTACCGGCCACTGACTATACTATGGCCACAAAATTAGTGTAAGTTAATTACGTAGGACTGATCAGTGAGGCCAGCAGAATCTTCACACATCTTCATCAGGAAAGATCCACACACCCCTCCACCACTAGAATACCAAAAGCTTTTCTGCACACTCCAGATTGCACCTCTAAATATTTTCAATATTCATCTAAAGTATGGGTGGTAGCAATCAAAGTTTTAGGAATTACACTCTCTCTTCCTAGGCTCAGACTGACAGCACATTAGAGATCATTGTTGTCAGTCATTTCCAAACATGTTGGGAATCTGCAATTAGAAACATTAACAATGGGATTTCACAGATGTAGGTTACACACTTTCAGAAAAGAAATAGTAGTTACTGGCAGTGGGGAAATACTTAAGAACTACTTATCTCCTAATTAAACAAGGTACTGTACTCTAAGTACTGAATGCTAAGCAGTGCTCTAGCATGTGCTCATCTTAACCCTACAGAATTATGCTGAATTACTAAGGCTCCATCTGAGCATTTCTTAGCCAAGACTCCTTGCGTAAACAGATGGAGCAGTTCTGTTGTTTCCGTGCTGACACATTTAGGCTGCAAAAGTACAGGATTAAGTTCAAATTTATCATAAAATCACTTTAGATAAGACACTGTAATCTTTATATCCTTCTCAAGTATGACAAACAGAACAAGAAGACTGTCTGTGTTGTGTTTAAAATAGGCAAACAATAGCTGAAATGGTTGGTAAAGAATATTGATTTAACAGCCACAGAGTGCTGGCTGACGCTACAGTAGGACAGTCAGCGCCAAAGATCTTTATATTTCCTTGAAGAAGGGGATGATCCTTACTAGGTGGATTTCCCAGGACACATTCATGCATAATGTAACTCCTGATGGCACCGCAGACACCAAGGATCACCATACTAAAAGGGTAATCCTCTGGTTGTGAGCTGAATATCACAATCCATAAAGTGATGAATGCAGGTAGACATGATGCTGTGATATTTCTTGGAGGAGTCACCTATGAGAGAAGTCTCGCAAGTGGCAGAATATGCCAGATTTAGACTGGTTTTCTCTCGCTGAAGTAACACAAAGTGGTTGGAACAGAATCCAGAAGTGGGGCCAAATTAGACTTGGCTTTTGAATGTAGCCTGGTGATTGATTTCAATGTTATGCATTAATTAATATTGCTGGGACATTTTGAGGGGAGACTACCCAGAACCCGAATAGGACATAAAAAGAAAAGGTCAGTGGTAAAGCTATATCATAGTTTGTACAAATATACATCTGCTAATTCCTGCTCATTAGACAAGATTTCCCCTAGATTGGAACATCTATAGAATATCTCCCCTCAAAGATATTGAAGGGCTGCTTCTCTAAGAAACCCAGATAAAAACTTCAGGATATGATTCTCAGAGTCAGATCTTCACACAGAAACCAATCCCCTGAAGTTTATTTAACTCCAAAACTCCTGTCAGAGATGTCTCAAACTCCTCTGTGGTTTCAGTAACTTCAAACTGGAGAATGAGAATCCCCATTTTGAAACTGTTCTTAAGATTTCAAAACCTGGAGTTGAAATCATTTGAACATTCTTGTGATTGCACCAGAAGGAGCATGCCTTGCCAATCTGGGACACAGGACTGCCAAGTGCCCAGCTCCTGCAAGTGGAGCTTTCCTATTCTGAATTTGGTGGTGCATGGTCCTAAATCCACAGCTCCACTATGTACAAGACTCTTCTCAAGTATGGCCTTGTTAAAATTTAACTTTGTGAAGAAACAGTTTATTTAAACAAAATTAAATTCCATTTAAGTGTTTTGATCAGCACTCTGAAGTTACACATTCTGGTACTTTCTCTCCTGCTGGCAATCTATATTCATATTGTGTGCTGGTTAAAGTGCAGATCAAAACCTTTCCTCAGACATAGACTTACAGAAGTTTGTTCAACCTTTACCCTAAAGCTTTTTTTTAATGGAAGACTTAAGTTATACTAAGCTGTTGTTGGAAATATAATGAGAATGCTGCCAGCTGAAAGTCTAGATACCAGAATAAAACAATAGATCAGTCATTTTTATCATGGCTTCTTTATACTTCCTTGAAATTATAGGTCTGTAAAGGTACAAGGCTTAATTGTCTAGTAAGCCACTGTCTTGCCTGCCTCCCTCCTAAATGTCATGACACAGAAGTGAAGGCTATCTCACATTTCCTTTTGTTACTTTCATGGGTGTGAAGTAAACAGTTCATTCTGTTTGTGAAGCACTTTTTCCCCATGGTAGGAGGTTAGAATTACACTGAAATTCAGAAGTAGAAAAGAAAGGACACGTCATTCAGTGGACAGAGTGGAACAAACATCACTGGTCCATAGAGAGTGTAAATATGTGTTGCTATTTGCACGCAGATGTTATATAGCTTAACACATAACAATATCAGATAAACATACCTATACAAAAATTTAAATTCCACAGCACAGAATTCATTCCCACATACTTAAACTTGGAGCGAACATGAAGGTTCTGTAAATTCTAAATTACACATTTAGACTACGACATTCCATTTTCAGTTATGGCCAAACTGGAGTTTATCTAGCATAATGTACACCAGCCAATTTTGATACTTGGGCTTTTTCACTTGAATAATTTCTTTATGAACATTTAGCACTTACACCTGAAGACGTATTACATCTTTCAAAACCTGGAAAACTTATATTTTAAGTTAAACTAAGTGCTAAAACATTACAGCAATATCTGGATTGAAGACTGATTTTGATCTCTGCTAACAGATTAAAACTGCTTACAGCCGTAGATGGCACATGTAAATATCCAGCAGCATCTCCTTGGCACTTTCTTCTAGTCTTTTGTATTTATCTTACCTTTAATGCACTGTGTTTTTCATTTGCTCCAACAATCAAAATTTCTGCCATATCCTCAGCGTGCTCAGACCGCGCGTGGACAAACAAGGCTCTGACAGCTTCTGATATATTCCTTAGTGCAACTAAAGACCCATCATGTTCCACCTTAAAGTCCGGGTTAGAAACTTCGAAGTTCAATTTGTTATTCCCCTTGCAGTCATCAAATTCCACTGGGAGGGGGGAAAGAAAAAACACAATTATAAGCATCCACTTTGGAACACAGATTTCAAACATCATTATGTTATTGGATTGTCTACAGCTCTCCAGAAGAAATGTCTCTCAACCTAAGAGGAAAAACTTTCAAAGAAGCTTTATATTTGTGTGACTATAATTCATAGACAAATCTTACAAATATGCACTTCCAGAAGGATGAAGATATTTTGGCCATACTAATTAGGGAGGAGACAAACAAAACACTTTGGACATGAACATTTTGTGATCGCTTAAATTACATGCACGAAATTCACACCTAGTTCTATAAATTGGGCAGCAGCAGTAGAGACCTTGTTATCCTTCTCATCGTAACCCAAGATCTCTAAAAGCTCTTCTGGTGGCAAAGTGGTTTCAGATATCCAATGAATCTTTATGCTTGGAATGGGTTGTTTACAGAATATTCAACCTCACAGTCTACTGCAAAAGTGTTACACAAGCGAAAAAACAAACCATAACATTTCTTACTAACTATCAGCTCTGTGATATAGTGCATGAGAACTTTTAATTAAACAGAAGCTGTCGATAATCCTGTTTCACTTTACACAGAAGATTTAAAATATTTACGAAGACTGACATAAAGAGAAAAATATCTTTAATAGTACAAAGGTTTGAGACCGTGTCTCAAATTCCTTCTCTGAGCCCTGTAGATTCACTTTGCTCAAAATACTGGAAAAAACTTCAGTGATATAACTACCAGCTATATGATTAAGAGGTCTTCACCACAAACTTGTAATTGCTAAGCAAACTCTTCAGGTTTCAACATCGCTGAACAGTATATTTGCACATGAAGTGGGTTTTTTAGACAGCCTGTTCTGTATTCCCTTCCTGCTCCTTGAGTTACTGCTGCTGTAGACTTTTCACTTATCTGCGTGCTCTCGTTACTTTGATTTTACATTTCATTTCTACTGGATCTTTAAAAACTGCATTACACTTTCAGAAATGAATACAGACAGGAATACAGACTACAGAAGATCAAAGACAATGGAGTTTTGCTGAAAATAAAGTACTTTGCATAATTGTTTAAATTCACTGTATACACTTCTTGTATTGGGTCATTGTTTTCAAAGGAAAAAAAAAATAATCCCAGATTCTCTTACAGCCTGGCCAATAACTAAGCTTTCCTGACTATGTAATCTCTATAACTGGTCTTGAAGCACAGACAAAACCTCAGCAGATGACCACACAACAATCCTGGGAAGGTAAGCAGAAATCCTCTTCATTAAATTTTGCACTTATTTCCAACTTGAAGACACGGCTGCCAGAGGACCTCGTGGAGATTCTTCCTCTCTGGGCATTCATTTGGATTAAATCCCAAAGTAGAACCACCAGAGGGAAAAAGAACTGTTGCTGGTTCCAGAAGTTGATTACAACTTCATTTTATGACAAATATTGCTAAGAAAGGTTAAATTAAAAACTAACCAAAAGCAAAAATCTCCAATGCCCAAACTTCAGAATGAGGCACAGAATATGAGACGTGGGACACTACTTGCCAAATCAACAGCAGTGGGTTGACCTTGGGCTGCACCCCGGCGCCCACCCAGCCACTCCCTCACTCCCCCACCTCAACCGGAGGGGGGGACAAAAGGAGATGAAAAGCTCCTGGGTCAAGGTAAAAGACAGGGAGATCACTTATCGACTGCCGTCACGGGCCAAACAGAATTGTCTTGGGGAAAATTAGTTTAATTCATTGCCAATTAACATAGATTTATATGGTGAGAAAAAGACAAAATTAAACCCACACTTTCCCGCCCTTTTCCCCGGGCTCAGATTCTCCCCTTCCTTCCCAGCTCCTGCCTCCTCTCCCCGAGCGGCCTGGGGGGGTGGGGAACAGGGGGTGACGGTCAGTACCTAATGGCTCCTCTCTGCAGCTCCTCGCACTTTTCTCCTGCTCCAGCCCGAGTCCCCTCCAGGGGCTGCAGCTTCCTTCGGGACATACCCACCTGCTCCTCTGCGGGGTCCCCCTGCTCCAGCGCCTGCAGCCCTTCCTCCTCCTCCTCCTCCTCCTCCGCCCGGGCTCACACCGCTCTCTCACCCCTTTCCCCTCACCACCACCGGCGTCGCTGAGGGGCTCGGCTGTG